AGTGTCTAGGTGAAGAGTTGCTAACAGTTGAAGAATGCCACTTGCATTTTTTATTTTTTAAATGGTTTCTTAGTGGGAGCTTAATAGTGTTTAACATCTAGAGGAAGAACAATTTTTTTCTCAAGCACGAATATCCTGTTTCTCACATCACTGGAAGAGAATTGTTCGTTCCGGTCCACTGACTCCCAACAGATCATTCAAGTTAAAAGTCAGGGGTCTTTGCAGTGTCAAAAGATTTAGCAGTTAGATTGGGTTTTGTTTTGTTTTTTAGAGAGGTGGGTTTTGGGGGGGGGGGGGGCGGTCTATAATATTTTCCAAAAAGAATATTGGTGGTTAGATGGCATCACTGAAATCATCTTTTTTTCCCCTCAGCATTGGTAAGAGTGATTATGTGTAAGGTTTTTTTGTTTGTTTTAAAATAATAAAAAAAGAAAGACCATTTAGCTGCTGTAGACAAATAGGCTAGTAGAGAGAAAACAGATACAGGGTTTGCTGGTTCAAACCAGGGTCAGCCTCAGAGGTTTACCCACCTTTCATTGTAACAAGAAAAAAGATCAGATGGGCACTTTTTCCTTTTTTTTTTTTCATTTTCTTGCTTTTAAATCTCTACTTCGGTCTCCAGAAGTCATTTCTTCCATTTCTGTAAATGCTGGGAGCCTAGTGATGATTACAGGGTAGCATAATCCTGAATTGTCTGTTGCCTGTGAAAGCTTCCTGTCCCCCGTCCCCAAACCCCACCCCGCAGCGCTGGAGCAAAGCACTCATGTCTTCACTCATGCAAATAGTGGTGTGTTGAGCATCGCCCGGCCAATTATTCTTTCTTTCTTTGGGTTTATTCCCCAGAGTGGAATTACCAGGTCAGAGGGTATGAACAGTTTTACGGTTCTTATTACATGTCACTAGGCTGCTGTCCAGAAAGATTGAACCAATTTCTAGTGCTACCAACAGCGTATCTTTCCCCACAATCCCGTGGACAGTAGGCATTAGCATTTTTACAAAATAATGAAGAGGAACCTTTTGAGTTGAATTAGCCCTTCTGCAGGGCTCATTAGAATCAACACGCAAAAAAAGAGAATTTTGGCTTTTTAATTTTTAATTGGTATAAAGTGATTTAAAATGATCGGTTGTTATTCTTCCCCCCAGTAAAGTTTAATGAAGCTGCATTTAAATGAAGAGGGTACCTTCATCTTTAAGGATGATAGTAAAATAAATTTTGGACATTAGTCACTAAGATAAACACTAAATCTTTGATGCACTTGGAACTACTTTTATGAGTTGCTACACAAAATGAGTTAAATAGATACTGTCCCTAACTTCAACATTCAGAGACAATGCTAAGCCTTCAACAAAAGTGAAATGAACATGGATTTAAATTTTGAGTGGAGAAAAGCTTTAAAAAATACAGGTATTTTGCAAAACAGGTTGAGTTCATTTATTTGGATCTTCTCTGGAGTGCAGTCATGCATTAAGTATGCTTGGAGCCTCCCTAGTCTATGCAGGTGACACACTCTGCACATCTTCACACCCTCAGGTCAGAGGAATATTTTCCAAGAAAGTATCCACAAGGCAAGTGAGAGCAAAAGGGGGGCTCTCCCCAAGTCCTTTCTTTTTTTTTTTTTTAACATCTTTATTGGGGTATAATTGCTTTACAATGGTGTGTTAGTTTCTGCTTTATAACAGAGTGAATCAGTTATACATATACATATGTTCCCATATCTCTTCCCTCTTTGTCTCCCTCCCTCCCACCCTCCCTATCCCCCCCCTCCAGGAGCCGGTTTCCCTGTGCCATGCGGCTGCTTCCCACTGGCTATCTACCTTACGTTTGTTAGTATATATATGTCCATGTCTCTCTCTCGCCCTAACACACCTCACCCTTCCCCCTCCCCATATCCTCAAGTCTGTTCTCCAGTAGGTCTGTGTCTTTATTCCTGTTTTACCCCTAGGTTCTTCATAACATTTTTTTTTTCTTAAATTCCATATATATGTGTTAGCATACGGTATTTGTCTTTCTCTTTCTGACTTACTTCACTCTGTATGACAGACTCTAGATCTATCCACCTCATTACAAATAGCTCAATTTCGTTTCTTTTTATGGCTGAGTAATATTCCATTGTATATATGTGCCACATCTTCTTTATCCATTCATCCGACGATGGGCACTTAGGTTGTTTCCATCTCCAGGCTATTGTAAATAGAGCTGCAATGAACATTTTGGTACATGACTCTTTCTGAATTCTGGTTTCCTCAGGGTATATACCTAGTAGTGGGATTGCTGGGCCATATGGTAGTTCTATTTGTAGTTTTTTAAGGAACCTCCATACTGTTCTCCATAGTGACTGAACCAATTCACATTCCCACCAGCAGTGCAAGAGTGTTCCCTTTTCTCCACACCCTCTCCGGCATTTATTGTTTCTAGATTTTTTGATGATGGCCATTCTGACTGGTGTTTGCAGAATTCCCGCCCCTTCCTTTTTCAGTCACAAGTCGGGCCAAATGGGGGAGGCAGGGTGTTTGTGGCTGGGGTGGGAGCATCCCTAGGTCAGCTTTTAACTGTAGGCAGAAGCTCAGAACATGTCTGGAGAACGCTTGCCTATTCCTTTATAGCCTCTGCATTAAGTTGACAAGGGTCAGTTATTTTACCTCCTCAAACTAACACAGAGACTAGGGCGGTTCAGTGGCCAGTGACTAAATGTGACACCTGAGGGTGGGGATGGTGCAGGGGTGAGAACAAGCCAGGAGGTGGGGCTGACCAATGTTGCACTGCCCTTGGCAGCTTCCACAGGGCCTCCTTTGTAAAACAGGAGAACAATTCTCTCAGTGAATGGTTTGAGGCTTAAATTTACATACTCATTAAAGTAGGTGACATACAAGAAGTAGTCAGTAAATGTTCACTCCCTTCTCCATCTCTTCTGTACAGAGAAGCTTCTGTCACTGGCTTGAGATGGGGATGAGGGTGGGCAGATTAACTCACAGACTCTGGTTGGCCCTTAGTTGGCTCTCCAGATCCTTGTATAGTCACAAAATGTCAGAGCAAAGTCTGCTCTCTGTGTAGATACAACATCCTTGGGCATGTAACACAATTCATACATTATCTTGGATTTGCAGGGAAATTTAAATCCATATAACAACTCAAATTTAGTAAGAAGCCTTAATAAACAGTGAGAAAATGAAAGCTTCAGGGTTCCTAGTTTCCAATTAGTACTCTTCTTGTTTAACTTAGTAAATCTAAACACATACTACCAATATCAAAAGTAAATTGTGGGCTTCCCTGGGGGCGCAGTGGTTGGGAGTCCGCCTGCCGATGCAGGGGACACGGGTTCGTGCCCTGCTCCGGGAAGATCCCACGTGCCGCGGAGCGGCTGGTCCCGTGAGCCATGGCCATTGGGCCTGCGCGTCCTGAGCCTGTGCTCCGCAACGGGAGAGGCCAGAGCAGGGAGGCCCGCGGACCGCAAAAAAAAAAAAAAAAAAAAGTAAATTGCCTGTCAGGAAATTACCTACACTGTTTTTCAAATTTTTTAACTTACTGAGCTTTCAGAACATTCCTTTCCTAACTGGATATTGAGGTAGCTATCCCAAACTGTCCATCTGTCTGTCTGTCTGTCCATATGTCACATTAGAAGAACGGGGCTTTCTCAGATAATTTGATCTAGTGGAGTGGTTAAAGATCCGCTTCTTAAATCCCAGCTCTGTTCTTTTATTTCTGTGTGGTTCCACTAGCTGCAGCAAACCTCGAAACCCATAACAAGCGTAAATAGTGTTCTGTTGTAAAAAGGTCTCTTTTCAGCATGGTAATATACCTTATTAAATTCCAAACATAATAAGTATTGATGGCAAACACATCAGGACCCAGTACAGCTTCTACTATGATTTAGTTCTCTACAAATGACTTCAGCACTCAGCTCCCAATGCATTTTGCTAATTACATCATAGATTTCCCTATTGATGAACACAAGCTGAATTAACACAGGAGCACTAATGTACCCTTTCACCATTATTGTTGTACAAGAAGCCGTGGCAGATGCTGGCAGTTAGTTACACAAACATTAGTATTAACGATTGGCCATTTGGAATTGGTGACAAACTACTGCCCTGCGGAATCCTGAGGCTGAAACCAATCAGGAAGTTAATGAGGAGAGAAATTACCACTGCAGCTTCCCCTTAATTACATTCACACTAGGCAGGAAGGGAGTTCTGGGGGTGGATCTAAACTCAGCTAAGGTTAAGAAGGTCAGAGACCCTTTTGCTTAAATTTTGTATCTACTGCGGCTTGTAAGGTTGCAAAAATTGTTCAACACATTATTACTTTTGCATCCTTCATATTTAATGTCAGATTCCTAGTGGAGTTTTATGTTTATAGGTTTGCTGTTAAAACCTTTACCTGACTTTTGTTTCAGTGTTGTATAATTCAGTTTCTTTTAATTTTTGGATTTCTTTAAGTTTCCTTCCCATTTATGCTTTTGACTTTTTAAAAGTTATGTATGCTTTTTAAAAGGTATGTACACCTTCCCCCAAGTGTTTGTTTCCCTCTATCCAAGAGAACTAACAGGAAAGTTGAAAAGCTATCGCTTTCACTTGCTAGCTGCTGAGAAACTAGGGTTACCTGTCAAATGGTGGAAATACATGGGTGGGGTCTTGCTTGGGGTAATTTGTCAGATGGATCATTTGACAAGACTCTTTCTATTAGCATCGTTTACATAAAGGGGTGGGGCTCAGTGAAGGATGGAAATAGTATCCCCAAAGAGGGGGAAGAAGACTGTTTTTTGTTTTTAATGAACATAAAATTGAAACTCTGCTACTTAACTTGCCTCTTCAATTAAGTAATACTGTGCAGAAATACTATTTTTTATTCTAAAGAAGCACTGGAGATTTTAATGAGTGTCTATGAAAACACGTTCAACTCCGAATAGAAATCGCAGAGCGCCTTTTTCTTTGTTGGAACCTAATTGCACGGTGAATGTACACTTTTAACGCACTCTTCTCTGTCTCTCCCCACTTCCCAGTATTCTCGCCACCCAGCAGTCAAGACTGTGGCTTGGTTTCCCTCTCCACCAGTTCTTCTGTTAGTAACGACAGCTCAAAGGGAGTGCTCGAATGTGAGTCTGCCTCGGAGCCCAGCAGTTTTGCGGTCACTCCCGTCATCGAGGTCACTCCCGTCATCGAGGAAGACGAATAATCCGGCACCCCGATGCCTTTGGCCGTTCACCTGGAGTGGCAGGTTTATTCCGTTTATACACAGGGTTTGTTGTTAACATTTTGCCTTGACTCACGCCAACTTAACTGTTGAGAAGATGTTTGGTTTATACTCCTTAGAGCTTAGCCCAGAGGCTAGAACACATTTGGAATAGTTTACTATCTGTCTACCGTCTGCACCAATTAAGTGCTTTGCTCACGGATTTAAATATTAAATAGTAGTGTCCCTCATTTTTTTATGACACTGGTTTACATGTAGTTTTCAAGAAATACAATAATTCACTCAAGTAAAGCAGTACATTTGCACCTAAATGTGTCAACTACTTTGTTTTAAAATGAAATCTTAGGTGCCTCAGATCTTTTTTTGAATTTTAGTATTTTAATAAAAGTGCTAAACTATAAATTTAGCCACGTTCCTGGCTAGTGAGAAGAAAAGAATAGAGTTAGTGATTATGTTAGAAATCTGCAGAAGGTTAAATAGAAATAGTGTGTGTGTTTGTGTTGCTGTTAGAAAAGCCTAGCCCCGACCCCATCCCCTCAAATCCAAAACGTGACTGAAATAGTCAGAAGAAAAAATTAATGACTTTAAGAATTGCTACCTTTTCTAAAGGGTAGTTTGAAAATAATACAATTTAAAGTAACCCTAGTAATGCAGAGTTCCTGAGTGTTGTTGCTAGAAAAATGTAAGAGTTTATGATGCACATTCTATTTAAAAAAATGGATGCAATCTAGATTATTTTGTAACCTTAGGTTGTAATCTGATTTGAAGATAAGTACATCTTTAAAAGTTACTATAGATTTCTGAGTTCATTTTTTGTTAAAAATTGCTAGTGGTGTACTCCTTATGTAACAGAAGCCATCCTGAAATGAAACTAGTCTAAAAAAAATTCATTGTTCTGTGTAGTTGCGGTGGTACCTGAAATAAAAATGTTATTGATGACTGAATTTTCTTGTGTGTATATTTGATGAGCGGTATTAAACAGGAAAAAAGAAATTACTTGTATTTTCTTCGCTCTGTGCTTTGAAAACATCTATTTGATTTCACCCCCATCTGTTGTAATCAATAACCTGACCATCTTGTTTTTTATTAAATGCACTTACTCTTAATTTCATCCACCAGTGGTTTTAGAGAGAATAATGTGGAGTTACCTATATAGGTTTGACATTATAAATCACTTCTTGGGGCTGAATCGTATAGCGGTATCGATTGATCCTGATATATCACAGAAATTTACTGTCACTTCTGTTTTCAATTAAAGATACAATCAGTCAGATAATGACTTAATTGGATTTTACAGAAGATTGAGTTTTATTGCCCAGTGCTTTACGAGTTTAGTTAAGGAAGATCATTTTATCACACTTGTCAGGCTGCTGCTACTGCAGCCGTGTGCCCTTCGGGGTGGCTGTAGCTGTAGGTATTGTGACGGCGACTCCGGAGGCTGCCGGGCGCGCCGGGAAGGACTGGGCCGCAGACTCGCCACCTTCAAGGCGTTAATGGTGGCTTTTTGGAGATGACGATTCCTTGCTCACCTGCGCACTCGCTGCCCACTGCCCAGGCCCCCTCTATTTCTTTGAATAATCCTGGCTTCTGCGGATCCAGGAGTCTTCCAGTTCCTACTGTTCCAAGATGACCCCAACACACTAATTTTGCCGGGTGTGTTTGATGGAGAAGCTCGGCACGCCCCTTCAACGGGTGTGTGTGTGTGTGTGTGTGTGTGTGCGTGCGCGTGTGTGCCTGTGCCTTCTCCCAGCACAGCTCCCTTCAGTGCCCCTGCGTTTCTGGAAAGCCAGGCGGAGCCCGGAAAAGCGCGCGTATGCGCTCTCAGAGCCCTGACCGAGCACCCAGCCTGGGCCCCTGGTGAGCCCGGGCTCCAGTTTCGAAGGCCCTGCGCCTCCCGGCCTCCTACTGCGGCCCGGAGCTCCACTCTGGGCCGTCGGAGCCCTGGGAACCAGGCTGGTTTCGTGGGCCTCCTACGCCCCGAGGGTCCACTGCTTCTCCTGACGCCGAGTTTGGTTCTGCATTCGGGCGCCCACCGCGCGGGGACTCATCGAAGATTCTGCCCAAGAAGGGCTACTCCCAGCGCGAGGACACAGACCCCAGGACCTCAACGGGCCCAGGCGGAGTTGAGGGAAGCTTCGGCTGCTTCTCTCTTCTCCGCCGAATGGCCCCGTAAAGGAGGAACCTGTGGCCTTCCTCCGCGCCTGGTGGCTGCGACGCTCAGGTTCCCTCCTGGAGGCTTATCCTTGACCGCTAGGGAGCAGAGCGCCGGGCAGGCCAGGCCCAAGCGGACTGCGTAAGGAACTTAAAATTCTGAACACAAGGAAGAGCACAGACAGCAAGTCTCCTCTGCTGAATGTTAACACCCGCGTTTGGGGGGCTATAATTTTCTCAGCTCTGCGCCTTTGAACGGACACCTGTAACAAGGCCGCGTCCCCCTGCGGGCGGCACCCGCAGTGTGTGCGATGTGGAGTGCGCACCACAGGTGTGTGCAGGTGTGGGCGTGTCGGGCGCCCAGTGCTCGTCTCTTGCGGGCGCCGAGAAACCGAGGCGGGCTCGCCGGGTCTTCTCCCGGACTCCGGGCAAGCTTCCGCCACGCGACGTGGAGCTGTGGGCAGACGAAGCGCGTGCCTTTCCCCAAGACCGCCTGCGACTCCCGCAGTGGCTGGGGGTGAGGGCGAGTTTTCCCCCCTTCCAACGGACGCGGCTCCCGGGACCTGCGCCCACTCGGGTGTCCCCTTCACCCCACTAGTGTGCTGCAGACCCCGCGCTGCGTAACTAGGGTCTCGGGGAAAGCCGCCTGCGGGGCCCAGGGCGCTCTTGGTGACACTCGCTTCCCCCCAGAGCCCACGCACGGAACCGCCATTCGGGGCAGGGGCGGGAGCCGGTACTGCCGTCTCCCGGGCACCTCGTGCAAATTAAACTCTCGCCCACGTGTAGAAATCGAGCTCCCGCCCCTCGCTTCACGGTAACCTCAGTGCTGAACTGGCTTCATGTGCACACAGACTGCACCGCATCTGACGCTTGGCACCAAGTGGTGGTAAAAGCGCTTTACAGAACGCGTTTCGTGTCACAAAGAAATACAGAGGGCAGCCCGTGGAAGGCAGGGGGTTTTCCTCGGCTCCCGGACTTGGACCTGTCCGCCCCGCCAGTTGGGGCCGCCACTGCCTGCCTGCGCGCCCCCGCCGCCCCTTTGGGAAGTTTGCTCCGGCAACTTGCACGGGGCCTCGTCCTCCTTTCTCCCTCAGCGCATAAGCACGCGGAGGAGGCCTGAGACCTGTGCTGCGCACCGGCCGCCCGTAAGCTCAGTCGCCACTCTTGATTCTCGCCTTTAGAAGACGCCTTTCCCCCCCACCCCCACCCCTTAAGAAACGCGAACGGCCTTTAGTCAGCCAGTTGTTCGTTGAGTACCTTCCCCCACCCTCCGCAAAAGAGCCCGCAACCTTTTCAGCGGCTCTAAGCTGCGGCCCGGACAGCTGGGGAGGGTCCTGGGCGAAGGGGCGGGGCGAGCAGGGCTTCGGGGGCGGGGGCGCAGAGTGGGCGCGGCCTAACTGCTCCGGAAGTCGCCCCGCCCGGGAGGCTCTGACTTGGGCGTAGTGAGCTGAGTCTTGGCCTGGCTCCCCCGGGTGGGGTGCTTTCGAGTGCCCGCGCAGCGCCTCGGCGTTGCTGCGTCACTGTCCTGCCGGTCTGGTCTCGGTACAAGGAGTTCACACCCAACTTTCCCTGGGGTGTGGGCAGCGCTGGCCGTTTCCCGCCTTAATTCCCGAGCCCGTTGAATCGAGAAGGGACTTCTTCCGTGGAAGTCCTCACCTCCGCCCACATTCTCCCCAGCAGAGCTTTTTTCCGGGACTGCAGGGGAGCGGGGAGGCGTAAGAGAGTTCCGGAAAGGGGGCTTGTCCTGCGAACTGCACCAGCGCCCCCAGAGCAAACACTTTGGGGAACAGAAACTTTGTTTCTTGAATGTTTCTCTAAATTACCTGAAATTATTTCCTGGGCCGTTTTTGGTTTTTAAAGTCACAGGAGAAAGATTACGTTAAAACTGTTTTAAAGGCAGCGCTGCTCTCATTTCATCTCGGAGGGTACCTGTTTTACCTTTTCCTTTGGCACCGAAGGTAGACTGGGTCTGCAGGCCGCCCAGGCGATCCTTTCTAAAACCAAACTGTTTTAAAGGCAGCGCTGCTCTCATTTCATCTCGGAGGGTACCTGTTTTACCTTTTCCTTTGGCACCGAAGGTAGACTGGGTCTGCAGGCCGCCCAGGCGATCCTCTTCTAAAACCGGGTACGGATTTGACCGCCGCCTCCAGTCCCCCATGACCGGCGGGGTGTGCGCGACTCGGCCCTGGAAGCCCCGGGCGCTTGCGGGCCCCGCGTCCCTGGCCCAGTGGGAGCGCTCCGAGGGCGCCATTTCCCAGTCCAGCCCTTCGACAGCGCGGGGCGGAGGTCGCCGCTCAGGGGCCCCCTCAGATGTTGCAGTGCGGAAGCGACATCCGTACAGCCACAGCAAAGGATGGGGGCGGGCGCGACCTTGTGTCTAGGCTAAGTCTGAGTAATCTGCACCCGTGGGAGTGCCTACCTCTAGGGTGAGCTGTTGCTGGTTTCGAGAGTTCTAGAATATGAACGACCGAGCAGCCGCGTCTGCAGGGGGCCACCGGGGTTGAAGGCCGTTTTAGGTCCCGTTTGCTCCGAAAAGCCTCCGCCCCGATGCCAAAATGGTGTGGGGACGTGACCGTCCAGCATGTTCCTTCACACCAGCTGTGTCCCCCGGCCGCCAGACGCAGGTTCAGTGACTCCCCGGTCGCAAGGTCTCTACCCTCTGTCCTGAGCCTCAGAGGGCGGCTTCGTGGATGTCATGGGGGTGCACACGAGTCTCTCCCAAATGTGGGAGGACATTATTGTCACCCCAAAAAATAGATTCCTGGTGGCCCCAGCGCCTCGCTAGACATTTGTTCCCCCCTTTCGATGTGAAGCTGGCCAATGAGTGATGCCGAAGAGGCACGGACAGGGTAAGAGCTGAAAATTTCATGCGTGGGGAGAGGGAGCTCGTTTTCCTGCTTTAAAAGGGCTTTCTAAAAACTAAAAAATAAGTAAAATAAAAGGGCTTTCTGCATGCCCCGGCCTCCAGTGTCACCGTGGTCTCGTTTTAAACAGCAGAATAGGAACCTTGACCTCCCCTCCATGAGAACCCAGCAAAGCAGAAAATTTCCTGATGTATTATACATCCGGGACAATATGAAACTGTCCTTTTGATTCAGTGTTGATTGCGGTCATGAGCGTCCAGTCAGGACATCTTCGGTTTCTCAGCACCGGCACCTGCACTCCGACTTATACGTACGTACATATATATATTGTGTGTGCGTCAAGAGAAAGAGAACCACACATGCACACTATCTTTCACCCTTTCGCTGTTAATACCTATCACAATTCTATCCAGTTAATTGTGGTTTGAACACACACGTGCACATACAGACACACACACCCCACCCAGAGCAGAACGAGAGAGTGGATCCAGTCTAGTGAGGTTACACTTACTTGTAATCCTCCCCCCTCCCTTTCCAGTTTCTTTGATGATTTTTCCCATAAGTGTACAAGCCGCTGGGACTTAGTAGAAGCAGGCTGCTCCTCCTAAATGTGATTCGGACCATATGCTTTCTACATTCATCCCCGCTCCGGCTTTTCTTCTCCGCACTAACTGCTAACACGTTATAGTCACCTTGAAATTTCCTCTGCTATTTTCCAATTAAAAGCTTAATAGCCCTGGAAACGGAGTTCATGTGGTGAAGTTTACCATAGCCCCTTGTTCTGAAAGGCTTTCTGCTGGGATCCCATTATGTGCTTGAATAAACCCTTTCTGCAAACAGAAATGGGACTCTGGGTTGTCAGGTGTTGGGTTACAATAGACTTTGAGGCAGGGGACATTTTACCAACATAAATACAAACCTGTCCCTAAAGGGAGATGTTGTCAAATACTGGGTTATGGAAAACATTCCCATCAAATATGAGAAGAGGATTATTGCGCTATATCAAATGAGTATGTAGATCTCAGCCCCCAATGTGCACTGGAGTGAAACGGGGCCCTGGGACCAAAAAATGCAAGACTGCTTGAGTGGCAAAGGGATAGGGTGGCTAGGTGACTGAGAGAGGAGAGTGGGTCGCCTTGGCAGTGGAAATATCCCCCAAACCTGGTGCAGAGCTCTGCTGCTTTCCTTGAAAAAAATTCTTTACTCCCAAGTTCCTTATACTCCCTGGTTTCCCTGACCATTTGGAGAAAATCGGGAGAAATCTGGCTTTGAAAGAAGTATGTGGTCCCCGCATTCCCAAGAGACCTGGAGATTTCGGCACGAAAGTTCCCAGATTCAGTGTCTTTCCAGGCCCTCTAAGTCTCTCCTTAAGTGAAGTGACTGGCTGTCAACTCCCCACTTCAGGGCCTCTGGCCCGCGGGGCTGCAGGTCACCTAGGCCTCCAGTTTGGAGAGTTTATGAAGTTCCTCACAGTTGTAGTGTTTTTAAGGCTTGTTTTCTTCGTGAAGCTTGGGAGGAGAGATCCATGAGGCGGTGGGTTAGGGGCAAGACTAAGGGGTCTGTTCCCGAAGCAGCTTTGGAGGCAGGCCTCCCAGGGTTAGCCCTCTCGGGCTAGGGTTACCTTATCGCGCCCTACCAGGTCCGCAGGTCTGAAACGGGGGAGGTGGGGGCCGGTCAAGGGCTTCAAGGGAAACACACACAAGCAGGTTCCCTTTTTAACCTGCTCCCCTCCCGGAATCACCCTTCTAAACGGAGGGTTGGCTGCTAGAACGCCTGGTGCTACTTGAATTCACAGCAAACACAGTGGGACGTTTTCGGGTTGCTTGTTTGCTTCCAGGGCAGTGCAGAGAAAAGCTGAGAGGACAAGGGCAGCTGTGCCGCCAAACGGTTGGCCATTGCAGCAAACTCGTCTACGCCCCGGTTTCGCATTCGATTCGCCAAGAGCTGAGTTCAGAGTGCGCTGTCTGGAGCTTGCCGGCAGACGGCTCCGGGACTGCATTCTACCCCGCTTCGCACTGAGCCATTGTGCTACCCTGCGTCGCTGTAACCACCTGCTTTTTACTTGTTTTCTTGCATTGCGGGAGAGACTCCGTGCATTTGTGGTGGTAGTCTGCCTTAGGCCAAATCGGTACTCTTAGGGGACTAGAAACACGCAAATAACTGTTTCAACGAAGTTTTATGCTGTCATCTTGTGCAAGGGCTCTCCCCCACCCCTACCCAAAGACACTGGGGGTGTGTGTGGCCCCATCCCTTTCCATAACTAGATTGCTGAGTCCGTGGGCATTTGAATTGGGGCACGCGAGACCTCCGTTTAATCGCTCAAATGCCGTTGGGCAGGGAGGGTATCATATGCGGTAACTTTGGGGGCGCTAGCGTGGTTCCTGCGTCCGCTCTCTGAAAGTTTATAGACCCAGTACTTAAGCAAATCCTCCATAAGAGCGCTTCCCGGCTTTTCAGGACAGAGACTTTTTAAAATTAAAACGTGGGGAGGAGGGTAGAGAAATAAACTCTGCACCAGAGAGAGAGGACAGTTTTTTCCTTTGAAATAGCTTGCAAAATGGGTCGTCATCCTTGGGCCAGCAGGTTTTCAAAATCATCCATTTTCTGCTACAGCAGCAAAAGAAAAAAATGTTGCAAAAGGAAATAAAGAAAGCCAACATTTCTCGAACCAATTCCAATGCCCTGCCCCCAACTCCTCCCGCCAGTGGCCGCGGGGCCTGGCTCCCCCCACCTTAAAACCCTCTCGGCTCACTCCGGGAACCGAGTGCACCCGCAGGGCTCTGGTAGGCTCCGGTTCTCGCGGAGCCGTGCTTCTGTGGCCAAGAATGGGAATGAAAGCGGCCTCGGGCTCGGTACCGCCAAATCAGGCCTGGAGGGAAGGGAAGAGAGCGAAGGGCACCTCCACCCTCACCCGCGCTGGTCCTCCCTTCCCCGCCCCGCGTGCACCGCCGCGTCCCGGAGCGCCGCAGTCCCTCCCGCCGCGGGCAGGGGAAGCGCAGAGAGCTTGGAGGAGGGGGCCTTGAGCGCCCCCGTGAGAGTGGCCCGACGGCGGATGGCAAGGAAGGTGAAGTTCAGGGACTCGAAGGGCCCGAGCGGAAAGGAAGGAGGCAGGCGTGGAGTGGGGTGGGGAGTGCAAGGAGACCTGGACCTCGAGGGTGAGGGTGGGGGTGGGGGTGGCGGTGGGAGGGAGGAGGAGTGGGGGGAGGGCGGCGGAGGAAGTGCCTGGCCCGGCCTGCGCGCGCGGGAGCTGCAGACGAGCTGGCTCAGACCGTAATCAGAGCTCTCGCCGGCTCCTGGCAGCCGCCGCAGCGCCTCGGCGAGGGAGGACTTGCCGGCCAAAGCAGCGGCAGGCGGAGACGCGACTGGCGTGAGATTGGTGCAGCGCCAGTCGGGAGGCTGAGGCTGTGAGCGCCGCGGGAGCCGTAAACACGGCTCAGCCCCTCCGGCCATCCCGGAGCGCACGCGGCCGCGGGGACTGCTGGACCAAACTCTGCGCCGCCCGGAGGCCGCCCCTGAGCGGGCCTCCCAACCCGTCGTGCAGCGCCCCCTGACTCGCTCCCGCCGCCAGCCCGCCAGCTCTTCCGGGAGCCCGGGGCATGAACGGCTACGGCTCTCCCTACCTGTACATGGGCGGCCCCGTGTCGCAGCCGCCGCGGGCGCCCTTGCAGCGCACGCCGAAGTGCGCGCGCTGCCGCAACCACGGCGTGCTGTCTTGGCTCAAGGGCCACAAACGCTACTGCCGCTTCAAAGACTGCACCTGTGAGAAGTGCATCCTTATCATCGAGCGGCAGCGGGTCATGGCGGCGCAGGTGGCGCTGCGCAGGCAGCAGGCCAACGAGAGCCTCGAGAGCCTCATCCCCGACTCGCTGCGCTCCCTGCCGGGACCCCCGCCGCCGGGAGACGCCACCTCTGCCCCGCCGCCGCCGACCTCGCAGCCGTCTCAGCCACCGCCGCCGCGACCCGCTGTGGAGTTGGCTGCTGCCGCCGCGCTGCGCTGGGTCGCGGAGCCCCAGCCTGGGGCGCTGCAGGCGCAGCTCGCCAAGCCAGGTAAGAGCAGCTGCGGGGCCGCACTGGGCCCCGCGCCTGGGCGAAAACACTTCCAAGCGGCTATTGCTGCTTTGCCTGGGAGGCTCGGAGGCGGATTTTGGGGAAGATGGCCCGGCCCGGCCTTCCGCCCCAACTCCAGCCGAGCCGGTCCTTACTCTCTCGGCACAAGCGATCGTCGGTCTGGATCCGGCGAGGTAGGAGGTGAACCCAGGCGCCCACGGGAAAGGCGCCTCGGGCTCGCCAAGTGCCTTCCCCAGGTTAAAGGGGGACGGGTAAATAAAGAGGTCGAGACAGGACCAAATTAAAATCCGCGTGGGCACACACCACCGTGCGGCCGGGCTTTCTTGCAGCGGGCTTTAGAGGGCCTCGCATTTGGAGGTTGGGATGGGTAGGTGCAAGGAAGGAGCCAAGGCCCAAGGCTTGGATGACTCTGGGTGTTTTTCTCGGCCCCCGGGGAATTTGAGCGAACCCGAAGCCTTTCAAGTAGCCTACTGTGGCCTCCAGCCTCTTGCAGTCTGTTGAAAAGAAGCCCTATTTAGAAGCAGTAGTAAACAAGGTCCAGAAAGGCCCCCACACTGATAGCGGGGACTCAGAATCTAGTGCGCCCAGAGTCAACCAACTCCTTCTGCAGAATTGCTCAGGTCCTTTAACACCGTTCCGCAGGCAGCCCTCAGCAGTCTCCGTGGTCTTAAAGAAACAGAAACAAAACGACCTACAGTGAGGAAGGCCAGCCCTGGAGAGTCCTTCCCCCACTTCTAGGTGGGCCTGGGCCTCCTTCTGTCCTCTCCTCTCTCCTCTACTGTGCTTTAGAGATCATGGGTCTGCTCTGAGCCCTGGAGGTGGGCAGAGTCCTCCCCTCCCCTTTCCATCTGGTTCCCTCCTTCAGGCCTCCAAAGCCTTTCAAACCCCAGTGGAGCCTTTCCTCCTGGAGAATGTCTAGTTTACCATCCTGCGCAGCCCAAGGGCTCCTTTGATTTTAAGCTCGTAGAATTCTGTGGACAGGTGTTTGGTCTTTCCCTTTCACTGGGGCAGATGTACAAAGGAAAAAAGCCCATCTTCTCAGGGAGAGGGTTGAGGGGTATGCTGGAATTCAGAGATGGAAGGCCCTGGAAGGCCCAAAGCCCTCCTGTGGGTGGAACTAATGGTAGAGCTTCTGCCTACCCCCAGTCTCCCCCCCCCACCCCAAAAAAGACTGTACCTCTGGCTCTTGGAGAGAGGCTTTCAGCAGCACTGCACTGCTGTGCGGAGCCAGGGAAACATTTGGGGTGAGTTGGTAGGCAGCCTGGCAGGTGCAGTCCTGCTGCCCTGTTGCTCCGTTATGCTGTCCAGACCTGAAGCTCTGAGAACATCTTATGGGAAGAGCAGAACTGGGTATTGTAAGGACAGAAGTGAGTTTACTGAACATGGATTTTGTGGATGTTTAATCCAAGGTAGAATATAAGCATTTCCCTGAGTAATGTCCGCCCACTCCCAGTTGACTCTCTTTTGTCAGTGTGATCTCTTCATACTTGTAGGTTTGTCACAGAGGAATAGGAGGGGGGCGGGGAAAGGACATTCTCTTTGTTTTTCTCCTTTAAGTTAGAGCAGGTAACTAGGAGAGTTTTGTCTCAGTTCTCCATGCCAGTAACTTTTCTTAACCTTTCTCATTTCCAGTTTCTCTGTCTCCATTTCCCCCAACACTAGGTTGGGAGTTTTGAGTTTGTGACAGTGGTAGCATCTTGCAGTGGCCACCTGCCCAGCAGCACCCGTGTAATAGTGCTTTGGGTTCTGGGGTCCCTGTCCAAGCGGGGATTCTTTTCACATTGTGTGCTGTTCTAACCATTCTTTGGGATAGCTAGAGTTCATGCTTTCTATAGAGTCACAAAACCAAAAATAACCCTGGGAGGCGGGGAGTGAGGGGCAGGCAGAAAGGCCAAGCAGCAGCCTCAGTAGCAGAAGGATACGTGCTTGGGGAGAATAGGAGAGGGAGACTGCAACTGGACAAACCAGACCTGGTGCTCTCTCTTTTACTCAGAACTAAGTGTTCTGGGATGACCTGAGCCTTTCATAATGAAAACAAGTAATTGCAAAGGAAAATAAGCTTTACTACTAGAAAAGGTCAGAGTGATGGCTTTGGGGGCCTAAACTATCAGGGATCAAATGCTCAGGTCCTAATGCGTACCTTGCACATTTATTTATGTAACTTTTGTTTTCTGCTTTCAATTGGTTCGGCCCCATAATTCCATTCAACATCAACAAAAAGCCAGTCACCAATCCGATGATGGCGAGAGAGGGCAGGAAAGGAATAGATCATTGTTTTCCATTAGGAAGGCAAGTATACAAGTGGATCGGTTCTAGGCAATGCTTTGTACAGAGAAAGCCCATTTGGGTTTTAAGTTAGGGAAAACTGCCTGAATGGGACTGTATGTATTTTTCCTTTTTTGGCAGTTGTTCTTATGATGTATTTGTATGTAACATACCATGCATATTGAGAAGCTTGTCAGATATGGTCCTGGGCAAGTAGCTCACTATGTAGAGAAGTAAATGAAGCTCTGTTTGAATGGTAGTAAGTTACATGTACAGTAAGTTCACAGACCATTAGGAATCTCTAAATATCTCCTGGTGATTTATGGAGATTTGTTTCTTTGTGATTTTGGTGTCAAAAACATGGTTGGTCTCTTTAGTACATAGCTGTGGAGACATTTGCTTTTTTTGTTGGCTCCAAATGCAAGTGCACAAACACAGAGTCTTTCCCCCTCTCCAGAAATCCTTGTGAAAAGTACACGCCCTAGAGAAGGGAATGTTTGCTGGGCACCGCTGGAGGAAAAAACACCCAGTTCAGGGAGCCACATTAATACCAAGACTCAGTTTTGTAGGTGGAAGAAATTTCTTTCCCAAATTCTGCTTCCGATTCTTTAAAGGAACAGGGATTGTTTTATCTAACAGTGTATCATGTTTAACATCCCTTTTATGTGGAGGTGGTTGTAAGGAGAATTTTCATATTCTCAGGTTATTACTTCTAGCAATGGATTAAAGCTTTTTTTTTTTTTTTTTTTTTCCGTTTTGGTTGTACATTTCCCCTGCTCCTGGATTATCATCTACGACTGGCCTGGAATTATTAGATTTTGATTGAGCAAGTTTTTTTTTTTTTTTTTTTTTTTCCGTTTTGGTTGTACATTTCCCCTGCTCCTGGATTATCATCTACGACTGGCCTGGAATTATTAGATTTTGATTGAGCCCCAAATTCTAGTCTAAGCTCCTTTAAATCTATCCTATTGATGCGTTTCTCTTTCATTTCCTCTTCACTCCCCCCTCCTTCCCGTCAGGAAAATACCTTGGGAAGCTTGAACACCTTTCAGCTCTTAGAGTATCTGAGTCAGCAGCCTCAACCAGCCAAGCCAGCCTTTCAGGGCCTGGGCTGTAGAGCTGAGGAAAGTAAGGGGTCACGACCAAGGTGAGAGGCTGAAGTTACATTCCTCTGTTTGGCTTCCTCCCCCACACCCTACTCTTCCTCCAGGAGAGTGGCATGGGTCTCCTCAGGCTGCCAGAGGAAAGGGCTGTGGCTACAGATTCTTCCTAGGTTTACATCTGCCATCAAAATAAATACGTAAACAAGTTGTTAAAATTTTTTTTAAAGGAAGAGAAATCTAAAACACTCTATTTGATTAAGAGTAAGAGAGCAAGATTAACTAGGAAAGTAGGGTCTCCTTTCTTGTTTATTTCTCCTGAAATGCAGAGAACAAGAGACCTATAGGAAGGGAAGTTGGGAGATTTTGGAAAACTGCCTTTATTTGATTCTACCTCCTGTCCGGCACCTCCTAGCATCTTTATGCTTGCTCCGGGCTTTTCAGCTCCAGCTTGATTAGGTCCTGTCTGGTCAGCTTCCTAGTTTTAAATTTTACTTTTAATTTTTTAAAAAAGAGACACGCACCTGCATGGATGAATGTTGCCAGAACACCGGTCCAGGCCAGGATGGGAAATTCTCTGCGACTAGAGGCTGAAGCAAAGGAAAAGTGGGAGAGACCTCAGAGTCACTCGTGAAGGGTAGCTACGAATTTAAAACAGGGGCTGGGTATTTCAGACGCTTTGATTTGGGCCGAGGGGCCTGACTCAGAGTTGCATTTTAAAAAGCAAAAACCAACCAAACGAAAAGGAAGAAGCGAGACCGTACTGGTCTCCTCCTAAACCTTACCCACGGCTGGCTCTGGAGGGCGGACGCAGGGCTGCTCACAGCTCCGGCCCTTTCCCACCGGCGGCCAGCGAGTTGCCGAGTTACCGACCTACCGACCGGTTCCTTGGGTCCCGGCGCAGCCGAGAGCGCAGCGAGTGCAAGTGCGGGGCGGCGGCTCAGGGACCCCGGGCCGGGTCAGGGATGGATGGGACGCCGGGAGAGGCCCGTGCGGTGGGAGCAGCGCGCTCGAGGCTTCCCTGCGGCCGCCCTGGACCACTGTTCTCTTGCACCCAATCCTCGCGGCGCCGCCGCTGCGGCGGCACCTTCCACTCGCGCTCAGCCCCGCGGGCTGGGTTAGACCCCGCCTGTTCGGTCGGTTGCCCGATTTAGCAGAAAACCTGCAAATAAACACAAAAAAGGGATATCAAATATTGTATGGGGCACACTTGTACTGAAACTTTGTGATTTTTGCTAAGCGCAGGTTTAACTGGACATCCTGCTATTTTATCTGGCAACCCTAGGCCTCCGGGGCGGGCCCAGCCCTAAAGTCCGCGGGGGCGCCCCTCGGGGTGGGCGTAGCTCTGGCGGGTCTCCCAGCCTCTTTCTCCTTGTGGAGACCGAGCTGCCCCCGGCCGGCTCAGAGAGGCGCTGGTGTCCATCTTGTGGCTCTGAGCACAGGGTGGACAGGAAAACGGGAGCGTTTTCCACGTCTGGGAACCACAGAGTTCCACTGCCATCCAGGACAGAACCTCCCCCCACCTAACACACCGCTGTGGGTTATAAATCTGGCGGGATAGCCGTGCTCTCGATTTACACAACCAACTCTTCTTTTCCCTGATGGATGAACTCC